GAGGTATATCATTATATGTTTCAAACATAGAACGGTGAAAGCTAAATGTCATATGCTGCAGATCATGGTGAGTGAGGTTCATGACACAGCTCTGAGGTAGCTGACAAGGATGTCTTCTCACCACATTCCTCATACATACGCAGCATCTGTCAACCGATATTTGTGACCTGAAAGTCCTGTTATGTCTTTGCCATTGTCTTTTTGCCATGAACTAGCCCACCAGTGCTAGAGTAAAACATATATACTCACACTTGTGTATGCGTTGGAGGGAGAGCGAGGAATCTGTGTCTGATCAGTTTGTTACCTGGGTATTTTAGTGATAGACCAGATTATATTTACGGCATCTCTCTTCTTCCTTTTTCTTACATTGTACATTTCTGTGGTTTCTGCTTCTAAGCCAAACTTCAACTTCAGTTGAGTACTGCAGATTGGTAAAGTAAAAGGATCACTTCAATCCTTAGGTGACCCTCTTCTATTGAACCCTGCTGGGAAGCTGCAGGAACAAATTGTCTTGATATATTCTTCAAATTTTGAACTCTGTTTGAGTTGTGCTTGCACTGTGCACATTGAACCATGGCTTCACAGCTAGAATTTCTGTCTGGGATCATTACTTGTTATTTGAACAAAGAACTGAAAACCCTAAAAGGAGCTGAAAATCTACCATTACACAATTCTTACCTCATTTTCCCATGATGATTTCTAAGGCAAGAGATTATCAAAACAGTGATATTAAACAGATAAAAGCTCCAATCTTCCCAATCAAACACACCACTGACCCTGTCTCTAATCAAAATAAATACGCAAGAAATGAGAACATGCTTGTAAATAAATGGCGTGTGTTATACAGTGTAAACTGCCCAACTAGTGGCACTAGAAATTTCTTCACTTCCTAATAGGATCTTATTGTGCTGGTTGAAAATTTCAGATTGTTTCTGAAGTTTAGCAAATCTAGCTGTGCAACTACACACCAGTAGAGTACTCAGTCCCACACTGTAACTCAAACATGTAGTTGATGGGAAAGGAGAAAAGGCAGCTTTTCTCCTAAAAATAAGAAGTGTTTCTAAAGAGGAATAGAAACAGTACAATTTTTGTAGGGAGGAATTCCTGGATAAGTGAGCAACTGTTGTAAGAAAAGCAAGCTTTCCTCAGAAAGGAAAGATATTGAGCCCATCATATTTTATCTTTAAACAGAGTTGGTGGTTTCACCTTCCTTTTTTCTGTGTCTAGAATAGAACCAATTATTTGAGAAGCAGGAAAAGGAGCTGGCTTCCATAGATACAACAGGAGCAAATTCATCACCATCTAGTACCTCTTGAGGTGTTGTAGTCACTCCAAGTGACCTCCATCTGCCCCTCCAAAAAGGAATGGGTCTGCCCATGACAGTCCAATGTTACATCTGCCAGCCCAGTGCAGCATCTCAGATGTCCTAGCATGTTTATTATAACACTTGGCCCTCGTAGATGCCCAAATGCTGGCTCACAGAAAATTCTAAAGATTATTTGATTCAGTGGTTTTCAGACTTAAAAACAAAGAAGATTGACCAGAGTATCGTCAGTAGTAGTATCCAGAGTTGAATGTCCTTTTCATCAGCACAGTTACTCCAGTACTATATGAATTCAGTAACTGCCCAGGATCTTGAAATACAGAAGGAAGTTACATGTATTAGTGAACATGGGTAATTATGATTGTCTTTAATTACATTCAGTTATTACAAAATCTAGTAGTCTTAAGTGTTCATTCCAGTGTCTTTTAGTTATATAAGCCCTTCTCCCAATTTTGCCCCTTCTGCTGTACTTGTTTCATTCTCTGCTTTTTCTGTTTGGAATACTGAATTGTCACAGCTAACTCCTTTTTCCCGTTAAAGTGAATTTTCCCTTTTCAAATCTTCCTTTTTGGTATCCTCAAGCTCCTGTCTACTTATCCCTATTCTCTTTCTTTGTTTTGTTTCAGTTTTTCTGTGGGTTTTTTGTTTGTTTGTTTGTTTGTTTGTTTTGTTTTCTGTTTGCTTTGGTTCTGGTTAGTTGGTTGTCTTTTAGTATTATAAGCATTACAGAAATGAAAAATAACATTTTTTCATTAATTTTCTATTACTCCTTAGCTGTTATAGCACTACAATATTAGCCATTCTCTCAACTGCTATTCCAAAATTACTCATCCGCTTGTGTCTCTTGAAATTGCTACAAGGTCCTTCTGATATATTCCCTTTCATCAAAGCCCCTGTATATAAACTATCTTCTATGCCCCAGTTCCAATTCAGTATTTTTTTCTTTTTTGAGATCTTTCATGTTTTTCAGGATCCTCTTTGTAACTTTGTTTCTTCTCTCCTTTGTTCCTCCAGTTTTTGTGGCTGCTGTTGCTGCCTCACACAGAATCTCCTGTCCGTATTTTTTCTTCCTGCTGGTGGTCGGTTTTCTCCATCCAAACCCTGTTATCTGCTTCCCCTTCTCTGATGCCGTATTCTAAGAATAAAGTGACGTTTATATCTGGATTCTAGATCTGATTTCAGATTTAGATTCTGTGATGGCACTATTTGGAACTGTAACATTGTGAGTAGACCCTTTCTGGTTCTGTCTAACTGGTGACTTGAGTAACAAACCATAACAATCCTGTAAAGGCCACAAAACAAAAACTGTTTGGCAACGCTCTTGTGAAAGTTCCAGATCAAAGACCTGTTGTACCCTAGCACAGTGGGAAAGTAGAAGTTAGTTGTCTTGCTTAAGGTTCAACCCCAACCACAACCATTACGCAAAAGGAGAAGCATGGCCATTATGGCATTTGCACAGCACTTTCTTCTCATGGGCTTTTTATCAGCAGAGGAGCACCTGACTAAGTGATCAGTGGGTAATGTGTGGCTGCCACTTCCGTTTAAATAGCCTCGTAGATGCAGGCCTGCAAGACTGACTGATTTTATTGTATTCTGTTTCTGCATGTAGATAATGAGGTCCTTAGGGAAGAACATGTTACCGTTATGTTCCCAAAAGAGGAATCACTCCATTCGAATCGTAAAATATCCTGAGCTGGAAGGAACTCCAACTCCACACAGGATCACACAAAATTCAATCCTTATGTCTGAGAGCGTTGTCCAAAATGCTCCTTGTACTCTGGCAGCTTGAAGCCATGCCCAGTGCCCTGGCATCCTGTTCCAGAGCATGACCATCCTGTGGTGCAGACCCTGTCCCTGACCCCCAGCTGCCCTCCCCTGACGCAGCTCCACGCCGTTCCCTCGGGCCCCGTCGCTGTCACGCAGACAGAGCTCAGCGCTGCCCCTCCGCTCTCTGGAGGAACTGCAGCCGCCATCAGGCCTCCACTCAGCCTACTTTGCTTTACGCTGGACAAGCCCAGCAACATCATCTGTGCCTCATACATCTTTACCCTTTAGACTGTTCCCTGTTTCGGTAATCCTCCTTTGGATACTTTATATTAGTTTTATTTATTTATTTTGTTGCTTGTTAGCTTTCCTATCACTGCAAAGGAGAGAAATAATGTATCTGAAGCTGGGCAGTGTTAAGTAACTGCTGCTGTTCCTTTTCACAGCTGGAATTCTGGGCCACCCACCTCGCACTGCTCCAGGAAAATTTTACATTTGTGAGATATATAGAAAACTATAACACACATTCATATTACTGACCACCAGCCCTTATCATACCTGATCCATTATCACACTTCACTTGCACAAAAGGAAGAAAACTGGAATTCTGCCAATAGCATGTTGTAACTGACATCTAACTGCTGAGTACTTTCACTCACAAGTTTCTTGGAATTTTTGTTAAATGGAGGAGGATCTGTAAAAGAAGAAGAGAGAAAATAGCCAACTATCGCTTATGGTACCATTGTGAAGGATCGTGAGCAAGGTGGATCCCAGAACTGTACAACAAAAGCGCAATGCCACTAGCACTGATAGCGTAAGCAACTGTCATGGTGCTGTGGGATCATTGCCATGAAGCAAGGACATCACCAGTACTGCGTCGTGATAGAGAAATGGTGACACATTATGAGAACTTCAGAGTTGTCCTCAGGTTACAAAACTGGGAAGTGTACATGCAAACAGTGATCTCTGAAATCAAGAAGACCCCACCCAGTTCCAGCTCTTGTGGACTTGGACTGTTTTGACTTCAAAATCAGGCTGTATTGCAGCAGTCCCTGATCCTTTTTCTCAGCTTTGAAGACTGTCTCTCCTGCTTTCTCTGTTCCGTCCCCTTTCCCTGGTAACTTAAACCCACTCTATCTGCAAGGCCAGTGCTTGTTTTCTTTCCAGTCTCACATTCTGAATCACAGCTACTCCTGTATCTTTAGGTCCTCACTCAGTTTCCTTCACTAATACTGCTCAGCCTGGCTTTTAGCTCTTGCGTCTCTAGGTCTGTTTGCTCTCCACCCTTTCCCAGTCCTTGCCTTCCAGTGAGGAAAGCATTAAGTGCCTGTGAGAGCATCTCCCATAGAGCTGGGCAGCATTTCCTCCATCAGGGAGCAGCAGTTCTTCACACGGCTGTATCCTGCCCTCATTGAACCGACAGCAGCTTCCTAAGGCTACCAAAAGGCACTGTCTGACCATCGTCTCCTTCCTACCATGTTTTCTAAATCATCACATAGACATAGCAGAACTTCTTGATAAAATTGTTACACTTTAAAAATGAGAAGGAGGCAGCAGAAAGAACACCTCTTGAAAAATTTAATTCTCAAATATTGCTGATCAGCTTTCACTGAAACTTGGATAATCCATTAAACCGTAAGAACAGCAACAACAACCAACAGCTCTGCTAAAGGGTGCAGTTCAGCAAGGCTTTGAGGATCTTCAAATATAAAAGTTAACTTTAAAATGTGACTGTGCTTAGGTGTCTGCTAAACTACTGCATAGCTTAGAAACGTGATACACAAACCAAATGGTAGCTCCGTCGTACAATGTGCCAGAAGAGTCTTTTCTTCTGACATGGACTGTTAACAGTGCAGAAGAATCATTTCCCATTTCCCGCCCTCACTGTGCTCATTAGCATTAAGCTGATGACTAACTGCACTACAGACAGACCAATTACAGCAACATGAAGCCATGACCGTACTTCACACCTCCAGTTTCATTTCTCAACAGCTGCTTTTAGAATAAGTCTTCTTTTAATGCTAGTCTTCTGGCTTTTTCTAGAATTGGTCTGAAAGACAAGAGATCTTGTTTCTATTTGTCCATGGAGTTCCCATTTTTTCATGGAAAGATATCAAGAAAAGCATGTGAAGAACTGCTGTGCAAGAAAGGAAAGAATGGTAGTTATTTAATACGAGAGAGTGAAAGTGTGGCTGGAGCCTTGTGTCTGTGTGTTTTGTAAGTATTTTAATACTAAATTTCTTATGAGTTTTCAAATAGATTCAAAACTAAGAATTCTCCTTTTCTAACATTAATAGTTCTTCCTTGTTAACAATATGTCCGTAGATGTATTCAAGTGATGTTGGTTGCCTTAGGTTTTCTTTACAGTGAGTGGTGAATGGGTGGCATTTGTAAAAACAATTCATACAACAGTGAATGGATGAACTGCTGTTGTCTGCTGATGCTGTTGTCTCTCTGCAGACAACGGAGAGAGCCCACAGAAAATACCTTAGCCTGCTAAAAAACGGTGAGAAGAACCTCACTCAAAGTTGCTACCTCTGTTATAAAAGGAGTAAATACCATTGTAGCACTACTGAGACACAGAAAAGTCTCAATGTAGGATATAAAACATTTTCTTCTACATATGCATGCTGATTATCTGATGAAACATTGGCCTTGTGTTTCCCACAAAGTGTATCTGATATAAGAAGATAAGCTGAGACAGAAAGATGTCATGTCCTACTCAAATTCATGACAAGCCCACGAACAAGATAGGAACAGAAAACTGCTTAGCTTAAAACAACTAAAATTGGATTATTTTCTTTTCCTATTGGGAACAGTATTTTTTTCCTGTTCATAAAGACTGTTTTACGTTTTTCATAAGTAATCAATCTCTTCTTAATATGTTCAGAGTTTATGAACTAGTCACTAGTCCTTTTTGCGTGAACCTATAAAATTTTACACTTTCCTTGATGGTGTGTTGGAGAGTGACATGAAAACAAAAAATAGCACAACATTTAATTAGCTTAGAAATGTCAGGAAATATTTTTTATCAATAATCAAAATCTCACTGGTTTTGAAACAAATCAAAGGAGAAGGGAGAAAAAGGGAGGAGGAAATGGAGTAGTGCTGGGTTGGTGAGTAGAAGAAAAGATCATCTGGGAATAACAAAGACGAGTAAGGAGAAATGGCAGATGAGATACAAATCAGTTACGAGTCTACAGGATCTCCCTTGTCCTCACACCAGTTAGCTTGTTGATTTGAATCATAATATGCAGCTGTTTATAAGCATTTAATAGTTTATTTGGAATCAGAAGTTTTCATTGTAATGGCAGTTTCATGTTCATTTTATGTTAAAATAACTGTAGCAGCCAAGTAATATACAGACATTGACTTTTCAAATTTTGATTGACAAAGAGTAAGTTTAGAAACAACCATTTAGATTATTATTTTTCACTTTGATGTCTTATTTTTACTTGCATATTATGTTTAAAGAATGAAGGTTGACTTTTATAAATGCTCATAAGCCAGATACTTGTGAATGTTTACAGGTACCTCATGGAGGGAAAAAAAAAAAGACATAGTCAAAGTTAATCTTTTCGGAGTGGAAGTTAGAACTAGTCCCAGTCCATAGTAAATTCTTCAGAGAGCAGAGCAGGTTCTTTGCAGAACAAACTTCCGTTTACATGCAAGTCTCCATAACTAAGTTTTTGCCCTAAGATTCTCCCTCTCATCTCAGCTCAATTCATTTAGCTATAGCTGAAATCTTTCCAATGAACATGCATACCAACTAAAATTACCTGTTTTCAGATATTGTTTTTTTTTGTTGCTGTTTTATTGTGGTTTATATATCTCTGCAGCTTTACTGCCTTTTTTGGTGATTATCATGATCTCCAGTTCATCTTCTGAGCAGCTGTCATTGCTATATTTGATAAAAAGTTTTCATTTCTGTTGATAGAATGTGTCCAAAGCCATCAGTATCCCTAATGTTCTAACACTTGAACATTATTAAAATAATAATAATCAAAATTCTAGGAAATGCTAAAGAAGAATAATTTCCTGAAAGTAGAGCCCATGTTGTCGTTTTGTGTGCTGGTGGATGGAGGACATTTTCTATTGACATTTCTCCAAGAATTCAACATTCTTCTTGTAATACAAATGCAAGGTACAGTTCAGAGGGGTATCACATTGGAAGGCAAGAAAAACAGATGAGAAATGGGAAGTAAATGGAATCAAATTATTTATATAAAGGCCTGAGCTGGGTTTACTTTGTAAGTTATCTGCAAATTTTAGAGTAAACATATTCCAAAACATGAAAACTTTCCTCAATATTTGAACTCTAGAATCCCATTTGTTTTGCTTTTCTATCTCAGTCTTATACATATTAATTAACAATCATAATAACATAATGCTATTGCAGATATTTCCAGTCCCAGTGTCTGTTTCCATTCCTTCCTCCAATGTTTTTTCTTTTAGCATTGTGGGTCAGAGACTTAGCCCACTAGTTTGTCCCTAATATCATATCTTCTCTTCTGGATATGCTCATTGTTAAGTGGCCAGTATCATATCTAGTCAAATCAAATACATTTGAGTTTGAAATAGTGATTGCATCTGGAACAGGTGGAAGCATAGATGGCTCAGTGGGAGGATTACTTGTGGGCTCACCCAAGGAAAGCTGGTTACAGAAAAAGCATTCTACAACTTCTCACTCCTGTGTATGCCACAGCAAATAAATCACCTGTTCTCTACAGAAGAATGCCAATAGATCTCATATGAAAAGTGAACTGCAGGTTTTCTTAGAGAATCATTCCTTACTGCCACTTTGACTAATGTGGTTTTCACTCTCTCTCCTCTCCCATCCTTCCCAACTTCTGTAGTACAGTAGAAGACATTCCCAAAGACAGCCTTTCAGAATGTCACTTCACGCCACTGTTCTTGTTTCCATATAACACGGTAATCTTGTGTCATACCCCAGGTAATTCTCTCCTGTTTTAAGGTGCAGATCAGTCTTCTGAAAGGCGACGTTTCCTATGGAGTTGATAGTTTGAAGCCCGTTCTTTTTCCCCTAGGGTATGAATTCAGGGAATGAAGGATACTCCACTTTCCCCTGTAGCAATTTCGGTCTTCACAGTAGCTCCATTTTTTTTAGAAGGGGTACATGTTAACAACGTCATTCCAGCCTAAAAAGGCTGTATGATAGTAGGTCTAACCTTGCTGGAATCTGAGAGACATCCAAGCTACAGCTCCCCTTTGTCTCGCTGCTGATGGAAACACTGCGGTTATCAATGATGCATGAGTCTGCCCTTTGCCTGCGATCTATTCCATGTGACATTTGCACAAAATGGTTTCTAACACAGTAAAGCAATTCTGCTGATGATGAGCAAGAAATTAGGCATCCTATAGAAGTAAAGACTCTTCTTTTACATGCATAGCAGCTTTCAGTGGGTTTCTAGGCTTTGTTTTGTGCTTTACTGTCTATGAACAAGTAACAGCGACTTCCAGCCGTTTCTGGATGTAACCAGAAACATTTTCATTACTTTGAATTACCAGATTTGTTTTATTGAAGCTGTAGTCATATGAAACTTAACTCAACATAAAAAATGGACCTAAGAAGCAGAAGAGCTCAGGCAGTTAGCTGATGTGAACATGATTGCTCAAGATCTCTCCCAAGCAAAAAAAAAAAAACAACAAGCAAGCAAACAAAACCAATACCTGAGTGACATATTCAGCTGTAGTAGTCTAAGCCCTTTCCTGTGGTCTGACAGTTGACACAAACTTAATGTATACAACAATGTTTTTCACAGCTTCGAAAAAGTCATCTACACTTATCGTATCTTCAGGGAATATGAAGGAAATTATAAAATACAGGTAAGCAAATCTCATTTCATCTGTAAAGACCTCATTATTTTAAATTTTAATGAGTTTTTAAAAATAATATACTTGAAAATATTACCTTATAAAACAGGAAGCCTCCTCCGAAAGTAATGCCTCCTATTTTATTATGATGGCCAGCAATGTCAGAGGTGGATGTCGGTGGTATGGTAGTAGAAGTTAAACCTTCCCACCAATATTCCATTACATTTTGTTGCTGTTAAGTGAAAGCTGGTGCTCATTTGAGCCCCCAGATGCATTAGCTGCTTCTGCAGGTGTCCTTCTTCATTCATGCTAATATAGCATAAAACACTTGGCTTCTGCTTGTTGCATAGTTGTCCAAATCCAACATTTTAAATTGGAATTAAATATGTTCTCCATAAGTTTGTTTTCTAAGACCAGAGGGAAGTCTGTAATGCTTTCACTACTGAACAATGCTGTAGGGGATTGAGCCAAGCTTAAACTTTGTATTTTATCGTATTTAGTAATAAAGAAATAGCTACAGGAGTCATAATATCTACTAGACTATCTAGAAGCTGTAGTGGTGAATGGTTTTAGATCTTCAACCGAAAAATTGTTATCAGTTTTAGTTTTGATTCCATAGCAATAATTTCTAGAGCTTAAACCCCCAGAATACATACAGAAAACAGTTTGCTTATCTTCATCACCATTTTAACACTGAGTATGAAACTTCTTCAGTAGTCTTGGTAGGGATCTATGTTTAAGTGGTTTTCTGGGACAGCAATATCATAAAACTTCTTTGGTGACATAGACCAAGTCTTGAAGGACACATGCAGGGAGCAAGACACTTGCATGGGGACTGTGATCTCCATGGCTTCCCAGGAGGCAGCAACTGGTTCTGTTCTTTTGCAAGGAAAGAGTAAAACACATGGCTTGTGATGAAGAGTTAAATTTCATAGCACTTGGACTGTAGTTGACTGAAATCCCTTTTTTTTTTTTTTTTCTGAACAGCTAAATATGATGTGAAACAATGTGAATTTTGTTTTAAGCCCCTTCAGGAATTCCCAAAGGGAAGAACTGAGACATAGTCAGACCTGCAGGGCCATGAGGGGGATGGTTACAGACATCAGCCATTGGAATGAAGGAGATAAAATTTGTCCTTGCTAGGATGGGAAGCCTGTGATCTGAAGCCAGGCAGGGAGCACTAAATAGCTTTCCCTTGGCTGCAGCACACACAAGCAGGGCTGGTGAAGGAGGTTATGCCTGGTACCATAACCACTCCACCACACAGGTGTCCCTCTTGTGTTTAGAACAGTATTCTGTCACCATACAGGTTTACGAAATGTCCTTTGGTGAACAAGTTATGCACAGTTCTTTTCATTACAGATTACAAATACAACTTCAAACAAACTTAGTTTTTCTTTCCTTACAGACTTCTGAAGGCGTTCCAGAAAAAGTCTTCAGAACGCTAAAGGATTTAATATATAACTATGAAAAGCCAAACCAAGGGCTAGTCACAAAGCTTCGCTACCCAGTCAAGAAAACAAGCTCCTCACGAAGAAGCCAGAAGCTCAAGTTAGGAAATGATGACGTTTATGATGGTGAGAAGTCTAGTTTAGTCTGTCGTTTCATTAAGACAACAATTGCATTGACAGGTGAATAATTGCTATGTGTCCTCTGAAACAAGCTTGCATGGACAGAAATTCAAGATTCTTCCTTCTTTTTTACATTCACTGGAAACTGCTTAGTTCTAGGTCACAGGTTACATACACTCATCCACCATAAATTAACAGAATAAAACTAAAAAAGGTACAGATGGCAAAGCATGGTATTGCCCAAAACTCACTCCAGGAGTATCAGTGATCAGACTACAGAAAGCTATGAAATAATTTTACACAATGTGTTTCTGGCAAGCTGACAGGCCCTTATATCTCAGTGAGAGTTGAGGCTGTCCTGTACTTTGTTGTCCAGATCAAAAACTACTTTTATACCAAAATCTAGCTTGTAGATTATTGTGATTTGTGTTAGAACATGACCTTTTTTAGTTATCATGTTGAAAATAAGAATTATACAGATTTGTGCTCAGGATCACAGATCTGGAATCAGATAGTTTAGTCGCTGGGGTTCACTACTGGTACTGGTTTTTAGCCAGCTTTTAACATTGTGTTCTAGACCAAGAACCACTTTTCTGGGGGTGGCTACAAGTGTTCTGTTTCTGCCTTTTCTCTGGATTCTAAACAAATAACAACACTAATAAAAACTGTAACAAGGTCTAAGATGTTTTTTCAAGGTCTCCTCCCAGCTAAGGGCTTTTCTGTTGGGAATATCCTTGTACAGAACAAAAGCTGTCTTACACTACAGTCATAGCTACCTGTGCTATTGATCTGAATTACTGACTGTATATGATTTAGGATATTTAACTTTCTCAGGAAGGCAGGGTCTCATGTGGATACAACCATTTAATTACAGAGCTTGCTGATTCAGAAAGGGCAATACCGGCTTTGCTTCCACATGTGGAGTGCCCTGGGAGACCCAGTCCATAGGAAACTAAGTCTAAACATTAGTTCTGAAATAGCAGACAGAATACTGAGAAATCAAACTGAATGAACAGTATCTACATAGCAACGTGACAACATGCCATCTTGCTTAGAGGAGTCTTTCAGAAAAGCAATTAGCAATGACAAGATCTGTTTTTTTCTTTATTTCTTTACAGAAATTGATGAAAGTGATTATGTTGATGTCTTACCTTGAATGATCTGCAACCTGATGAATTGGAAAGACTCCATCTTAGGCTGTGCCACAGCACATCAACTGGAGAGAGTTAACAGTTGGACATTCAAAGCTATGTATCTATACCTCTGGAATTAGTGCTTTTTGTAGATTAACAGAGCAACTGCATTTTACCCCAGTAGATCCAGCTCAAAGTACTACGTATTTTTTGTGCATCATTAAGAGAATTAGTTTTCCTGACATGTGGATAATTATATGGGGGAAAGGGTGTGCATACTTATTTGCTTGTGTATTTTTTGGGGTTTTTTTTTAGCAAACTTTCCAAGATGCCTATTGCTGAAACATACAGTCTGTTATTTTATAAATCATATATGTAAAGACAGCTGTCAAGTAGATGGGGCGAGGCTCTCTTCAGTGGTGTCTAGCAACAGGACAAGGGACAATGGGCACAAACTGGAACATGGAAAGTTCCATATGAACATGAGGGAGATCTTTTACACTTTGAGGGTGACAGAGAACTGGCACACGCCGCCCAGAGAGGCAGGTTTCTTTTCAGGAGATATTCAAGACTTGTCTGGATGCTTTCTTGTGCAACCAGCTGTAGAGAAGTGCTTTAGCTGGGGTTTGGACTCATGGGTGTCCAACCTTTTGGAGTGCTTGGGCCACAGTGAGTGAAGAGGAATTGTCTTGGGCCACATGTAAAATATATAATATAGTTAATTTATATAAATAGCATAAGAAAAAGAGGACAACAAAATAAATTCAGTAGGTCAGACATACACAGACCAGATAATCTCAGACATCCCTTCCAATCTCTGTGATTCTGTGAATGTTAGAAAACATTGTGAATATAATAAATGAACGTTCATAAAGCAATAGCTTATGGCAAAACTGATATATGTTGATAAAAAATAGACGCAATAAAAATTCCATTGACATCATTTGATGCTTTAAACTTCTAAATTGTTATTTTGTTCGTGATGTTACTTCTTAGTGGGGATATATGGGTAGTATTTCAACTATGTCAATTTGTATTTGTATTAGTAATATCAGTTAGATTTCTTATTAATACCAGATAGACTTATTTCTTATTATGTATCTTTACTGTTTATTGAAGGACTTTCCTTAGCAGGGTCTGTTGTGTCAGGACAAGGGGAAATGGTTTCAAACTAAAAGCATTTAGGTTGGACAAAAGAAGTTTTTTGCAATGAAGGTGATGAGGTTGCCCAAAGAGGTGGTGGCTGCCCCATCCCTGGAGACAATCAACGTGAGGCTGGACGGGGCTTTGAGCAACATGACCTAGCTGTAGGTGTCCCTGTACATTGCAGAGCCTGAAACTGGGCTATCATTTGTGTCAGACTGCGGTAACACACAGCAGCTCCATGTTTAACTGCACGCAACACTACAGCTTTTACTCAGGCAAACTAACGTCCATCCCGACAGAAATACCTCACGACACAGCACGACAGAACACACCACGGCACCGCCCCTGCCACTCCCATTCCGTGCCTCCGGCAGGAAGATGGCGGCGCTGCCTCCCGCCGTGCCCCGCGGGTAGGCGGGCGCTCCCGTTCAGTGGGCGCTGCCGTTAAAATGGCGGCGGCGGCGGGAAGTACGAATGGGGTATGCCGCTCGCGCCTCTGAGGGAACGTTTCGGGGTGTTATGGATGCTTCAGGTTGTATGAAGTCCCTGCTCCTGGCAGCCACGCAGTACCGGGCTGCTAAGACGCCGTCCAACGCTGCTCTGGTCCAGCGCAGCCTGGAGGTGAGAGCGGAGCGCCTTGGTCCGAGCGAGGGGTTGGCCGCGGTGTTCGTTCTCTCGGGCGTGAGCGGCTCTTCTCGGCACTGTTCAGTGGCCGGCCGCGGCTGGCTCCACTTCTTGGCGGTCGGCCTGGGCTCCGAACTGCCGTGGGCTCGGTCGACTCAGCCTCGAGGCGGCCGCGGCCTCCCTCTCGGCTCAGCGGGTGGAGACTGAGAAACCCCCTGTCGGGGTTGTCTCCTGCGGGGCGGGGGAGGGAGAAACAGCTTATTTCTGTCCCTCGTACTATTACTTTGTCCTTTATCATAGCGTTTTATGCTGTTTTTGTATGTACATGCACACAGACGTACTGGATGTTTACATATGTGTGTGCTATTCACAGAAGTAAGGCATGCTTCTACTCTCTGGCCCATGAAGATCATTCTGATTTCCCAGCTTAAAAATACAGTTCGAGCGATGAACTTGCCTTGTACCTGCCTTTAGCCGGTTTCAAGTGATGTGTATTCACAGATGCCAGCTGCTGTAGCCACCCATACCTTTTGCTGTCCTGATGCAGCCCTTACAGCTGGCATTGTACTGTGGTGAGTGACTGGGACAGTGACGGAGCTGCTTCATCTGCATTACCTTTCTCAAATACAGATTTTCTTAAAAATTATAGTTACTAAAACATCAATATAGAAGATGTTATTTGGCTTAGCCCTTCAAGAACTGTGTAGATGTGGCACTGAGGAACATGATTAGTGTGTGTATGGTGGCAATGGATTGATTGTTGGACTACGTAGAATTGCTCAGGTTGGAATGGACCTTCAAGATTATTAAGTCTACCCGCAACCTAACCATACTATCCTAACTCTAACAACCCTCTGCTAAATCATGTTCCTGAGCACCACATCCAAATGGTTTTTAAACACATTCAGAGGTGGTGACTCAACCACCTCCCTGGGGAGCCTACTCCAGTGCTTAACAACCGTTTATGTAAGGAAGTTTTTCCTCATATCCAACCTAAACTTACTCTGGCACAGCATGAGGCCATTTCTCCTCATCCTGTCACCAGTGAGAAGAGACCAACTCTGTTCTTGCTGCAATCAGCTTTCAAGTATTTGAAGAGAACAATAAGGTCTCTCCTCAGCCTTTTCTTTCCCAGTTCCTTCAGTCTCATAGGGAATAGGGGGATATTCCCCAAGCCCTTCACAAGCATTGTTGCCCTTCTCTGAACCTGCTCCAGCACCTCTTTCTTTATTGAGGTGCCCAAAACTGAACACAGTACTCAAGGTGGGACCTACACTAAAGCTAAGTACAGGGGCAGGATTACTTCCCTAGTTCTGCTCATCACACCATTTATGGTACAAGCCTTTGACCTTCTTGGCCACCTGGGCACACTGCTGGCTCGTATTCAGCTGACTGTTCATTGGTACACCAAGGTCCCTTTCTGACAGGCAGCTTTCTAGCCACTCCTTCCCAAGCCTGTAGAGTTGCCCGGGGTCGTTGTGACCAAAATGCAGGACCTGATAATTGGCCCTATTGAAACTCTTATTGTTTACCTTGGCCCATCGATCCAGTTATCAATCCCATTGATACAGATCCCTCTGTAGGTGCTTTCCTCCCCTCTGGCAGATCAACGCTCCCTCCCAACTTGGTGTCACCTGCAAACTTACTGAGGGTTCACCTCAATCCCCTCATCAAGATCATCAATAAAGGTGTTGAACAGAAGCAGCCCCACTGCTGAGTCCTGATTGACACTGCTTGTTACCAGCCACCAACTGGATTTAACTTCATTGACCATAACTCTTTGGGCTCAGCCATCCAGCTGGTATTTCACCAAGCAGAGCATATGCCCATCCAAACAATGGGCAGCCAGCTTCTCCATGAGGATGTTGTGGGGGACAGTGTCAAAGGCTTTACTGAAGTCCAGGTAGACCACATCGACAGCCTTACCTCTGTCCACTAAGCAGGTCATCTTGTCGTAGAACAAAATCAGGTTTGTCAGACAGGATATACCATTCATAATCTTTTCCAACTTCAGTGATTCTGCAGTTAACTTCCTTCTCTGATCTATTGTAGAAGAGTACACAGAGGATATGGGAAAAAAAAAAAGTTATATTGTTCTATCATGCATATATAACACAAGTCCAATTATATGCAGGTCTATTACTTTTAATATCCCTTTAAATGGGCTTTTCTTTGACTCAGGATTCCATTTTTCATTATAAGCATAGAGTTCTCACAAAACAGCACCAATCTATTACGACTTATCTTCAAGCGGAATAAAACCTTTGTATTTCAGTCCAGTTCTTCAGAAAAGAGGTTATTGAGTTGAAGTACCAGAGATGCATACAGAGGAATGAGACCTAGCAGTTAAGTAAGTTTTTTCTCCTTTTTATCTCCAGGTAATCTCAGGACTGAAGCTTACAAGATTATTTGCTTCCAACCAGATTCTACCAAGTGAATGTCTTAATTGCCTAGTAGAACTCCTCGAGGACGCTAATATAGATCCTTCTCTGACATTGTCTTTGGTGACTTTACTATCACAGCTAGGTAAGGTTTGCATTTTAACATGAAATCTTCGGTCTTAGAAAGAGAAGACAAGGCAGGTGTTGATTCTGTGGCATGTGTGATGAACTTCTTAGAAAAACCAAAGGTATGAAAAATAAGGAGCTTTTCAAGTGCTTGCCTGATCCACTAGACAATACATTCAAGATCAGATAAAGGTGTTAAACCACTGTTCAAAACAGATGTGAAATCATTATTGTGAATGACAGTGTTTCATATTTGTCAGAATTGTCGTAGGCCCACATGCTTCAAGTTTCCCAGTTAGAAAACAGATCCTAGAGCCTTTCACTTGTTTGGTGGGGTTGATTTTCTTTCATAGAAGTGTGACTTCTTCATTGAACGATGGAACTCTGTGCTCACCATAATGGCATATGTAGGTTATATGTATGGGGAAAAAATTCTCTTATCCCTCAACTTAGGCTTTCTTGTTAGATATGGGTAGTTCTTTGAGATTTAAGTTGTTTAGGATGACCCATTGTTTATCTTCTCTTTTTAAATGATTACTGTAAAATGATACATTGTTGGGCTTCATAAATGTATTTCCCAACCTCTTGGATTCTGGAAAACTTTAAGAATCAGTTCTCCTCCAATTGATCTGTTGTTTTATCTGAGTTCCTTGTTGGCTATGTCTTTTCTGAGTCTAAGCAGAACAGATTTTTTTTGTATTACTGTTGCTATATAACCTTATCAAGTTATTAGTTTTAGTTTGCTTGCCTATCTTGGCATGAAGGAGGAAACTAATGTCGTTGATTTTGAGCTTTAAAGCTTCTCAAATGCAGGATTCAAGATTTCAGATAAAGCTTAAACTTTGTTGGGAGGAGATGGATGCTTTCTTCACTGTCCAAACATTTCAAGGAAAGGTCTTAACTGACTGTAAGTTCAGAAGTGAGGTGGAGATTCAAGTGTATAGGAGCTGTGGTTTGTAATTATTTGTGAAATATATTATGGAAAACTGATGAAAGACTTTAGGTTATGCTTAGATCAGTTGCTAAAATGATAATTGCTTTTGCTGTTACATATGATTGTGGGTTGGTGGGTTTTTTTTGTTTGTTTGTTTGTTCTTAAATATTTCTTATATTCTAGCTTCAGACAATGAGACAAGAGAAGCTCTTCGGGATACCTATAGTCTGACCAGTGTGCTGGCAGGAGTGGTTCATCGAAGTTCTACTAATCTTAGTGATCCAGTCTTATTACAGGTAACAGGAATTAATGTTTAATGTTTGCTTACTGAGTAAAAGTAGACAAGCTGGATGTTTTGTTTGCTGTGTGAGTCTAGTGTGACAGGATTTTAGCACTGCAGATTCTATGTATTCTGTCTGCAATATTGCTTGTGCTTCTTACCTGTTCTAATACATTTGAAGAAAAAAAGAGAAAACATTTTTAAATTGGAAGCTTCTACTGTGTGACACTACTGATTGAGAGCTTGGAAGCTTATTTTTCATTCTGTTTTTCATTTTATTTTTTATTCATTCTAAGGTTCCTAACAAAAATTTGAATATTGTTTTGTCTAATCAGTAGGTTGGCAATTGTGAAGGAGCAAAGGGCTGTGGCTGCTGGCTCTCTGGAGGTTTGCAGAGTGTATGTGCCTCCTTCTCTTTAGTCAGTGGTATCTGCTGTCGAATAAAAGGGACTGTGCTAATGGAAGCCTCCTTTTAGGAGCCTAGTGCAGACATCATTATATTATTGCTTCATTTATTTATTTTCAGTGAGTATGTTACATCTCCAGTTTCACCAACTTGCACCTATAATTTCTGTGTGCTAAACAATAAAGTTGTGCTCCCCCCTACCCCCCCTTAAATACATACAGGTTTTCTCACACGTAGGTTTCAGCTTTCAGCATGTATTTGCTGGCCATCTGTGGTCACATCTCTTTTCTGCATATGGAAAGAAAAAAAAAAAAAAGAAAAAAAAAAGTAGTTTGCTATCAGCTACATTGCCCTTACTCAGTGGGAAGATTAGTCAAGCATCCAGTGCAGTGCAACTTTTCTAATGTTTTGCATATTTCTCAAAGTACTAGGAGTTCCAGAAGCTTTAAGAACCCCACTTGACTTGTCAGTCAAGGGAAAAGATTTTGTAGCCACCAAATAACCCATTTATAAGACCTTTAAACTCTTATGTCAGCTATTCTACGCAGTAAGATTTTATTTCAGCTGCTATCCTTAGCTATGCTGTGGTTTTTGTCATGTCTGAGTATACTCATGTCACATTTAAATAAGTTATATGCCCAATAATCCTGGATGAAAGACAGTACTATCATTAGATCTGTTGGCAGTCCTTACAACACACCTGTTTTACTATAAACATAATTCCTGCTAGAGGCTGCAAAGTGCTTTTGGATTTTTTGTGAAACTTCTAGGTCTTTCACTGACAGAATGGAGAATTGACTGATGAGGAAAAAGGGGAGAATTGGATGGGCTTAAGTTGCCTCTCTGCCAAAATAAAACCTCACTAATATGTTTGGTCTTTTATTAAGTACGTGGAGATCAGTGTGGTAGGATATTACTCAGTGTGCTTGCAGCAGCATGCGTAATTGTGATGTTAACATTACAATTGAAAAATGAATTGATTTGTCGTGCTTTATGTCTCTATTTAGTTTCAGCTGTAAGAAAATACCTTATGTACTTAATTAACATTTTTCAGTGAGATTCTGATGGAAAGGCATGTGAGTAGCTCTTTATTTCCTCAGAGTATTCAGTTGCTACAGAGGCTAACCTACAACGTTCCCGTCTTTTGCACTGGTGCCAACGTCAACGAACTGATTTCATTTCTAATGCATCATGTGTAAGTTTGTGTTCACTTATCTTTGCTCATGGGAAATACCTAGCTAGGTTTCTAACCTTTCTGAAGCCCATGAGCCTATTGCACTAACATGGTCTGCAGAGGGTGCTATGATATTTTTGCTCTGAAGTTGCCAGAGATGTTTCTGGAACACATTTTAAAGGTTGTTAATGTTATGGCTGTGCAACTTTAGGTGGCTGAATATTAATTGGCTTCTTAGCTCAGGGTGAGCTAACGAAGACAAAAGCTAAAAAAAAAAAAATCATTCTTGTCACTGTAAACATCCTTCTTCTAGAATAATACAAATTTTGTGCAAGTCCAATGACTGTTAGACACTGGCAATAAAGGACCTCTGATAGCATTTATTTTGATACTTGTTCTTCCTCTTAAGCTCAGTTAAAATCTGCCTGAAGTCTGGGGTCTGCAAATGTTAGTTGCACTTTTCTTGGAAGAATGGTAACTTACATACACAAAAAAAGCAATTTTACTGTAACTAATCTCTGGATGCTTTAATGAAAACATCTTTGTTTAAACCTCCGGATTTTTCTTTTAAGTCAGTCCACAGAAGATGAGCTAACAATACCATGCTTAGGACTTCTGGCAAATCTCTGTCGTCACAACTTATCTATTCAAACTCACATAAAATCTTTGGTAAGTCTTTTGTTTTAGTGGAGTGATCCTCTGACTTACGGGTGACAGTGAGTTACTTCACTGAGCTCTTTTTTGCAGCAGTAATAATCCTGACCTTGTTGTTCACTGTTTTGTCAAACAACGGTGAATATTTCTCTCACATTAGAGGATACAATCAGTAGAACTGAAAGCTGTGTGTTCTCTTGTTTTTTGTTGCTGTGTTGTTGCACAGGCTTGCATTATGCATTCAGTTATTCCAGCTGTTCTCTACAAGCAAAAGGTGAACCTGATGTTTGAGTATCTCTTCCTTAGAAGAACTACTAAATGTTGTTATAGTATATATATTTATTCTAAGCTGTAATAAGTTTGGCCTGGAAAGAGACTTGCTCTTTCAAAAGATAAATCAATAAAATACCACTGATCTTTTAGTGGTCAGGACCTTTGAATCTTCAAATACACATCCAAATCTGATCTATGCAGTGTGTCTGTTCATTAGTCAATGCAAACAGCTTATTTCCTCAGTGGAGGAATACAAACTCGTCTACATGGCACTGAACGTTGTACTACTTACCTTGGAACAAATGCAGGACAAAAAAGGAAATAACTATGTCCAAGTCTGTTCAAAGAGCAGATAGGAGATAGGGTTAATTTTCAGTGGTTGCTTTATGTTGGAGATGTTAGCAACGTGATTTTCTCATCAGCCTGTAAAATAATGATGTAATTCCTTCCTATTTTTTTCATTCTATCCTACACAAATTCAACAAATTCAACAGAGAATTTAGTCACTGATGTCATCCTCTGTGCAGTAGAAGAGCACTAAAATAAATTTCCTAGAGAACATTTGTCATGGCATATTTCTGTGTTATTCATTATTTGTATCTCTTGTTTATAAATATTTGCAATATGTAAGTTTGGTGCTCTTACAGAACAAAATACAATTTTTAATACCTGTGCTTCTGTGTGTTTTAGAATAACGTGAAAAGTTTCTATCGTACCTTAATAAGTTTCCTGGCGCACAGCAGTTTGACTGTGGTTGTATTTGCACTTTCAATATTATCAAGCCTGACTTTAAATGAAGAAGTAGGAGAAAAAGTAAGTGATATTTTGAAATCAGTTTTATTTTCAAGTTGTTGGTAAATCTATTGGCCAAACTCAGAAAATAATTCTAGCTAATTTTTATATGCAAGAAACCTGAGCAAGCAAAGCATGTTCACATGCGTAATTTTATTTTTCCTTTCAGCTCTTTCATGCACGGAATATCCATCAGACTTTTCAGTTAATATTCAATATTGTTGTAAATGGAGATGGTACTCTAACAAGAAAATACTCTGTTGATCTACTTATGGATCTTCTGAAAAACCCCAAAGTTGCAGATTATCTTAGCAGGTATGGCTTCATTAAAAATTCATGGTTGCTTCTTGAGTGTTACTAGATGAGTATCTGCTCTATCCGAAGCTAAAGGGTTCTTGTGTTACCTGTTTTACACAGAAGCATGAATTAAAACCTGCGCTTTAATTGCTGCTTAAGAAATGTTTAATGATTGTGTTCAGTAATTCTTTGGTCAGTATTGGTGGTCAGACAATCTGATGAATAGCTATCATGCCTTTTTTTTTTTATAGTCCTTCAATATTTTGAAGTGTAGTAGTGCTGGCAAAGTGATAAGAATTTTCCTGCAGGGCGTCACAGAGTTGTTATGTGAAATGCTTGTCTACTGGTTCTGCACATTCTGCTAGCCAAACTTAGTTGCTGAACTTCAATCCAAATCTCTAGCAGTAAAAATACTTGTTCTAATTCTGAGAATATTTTTAAAATTTAGCTTATATTGCATTGAAACTACACCATTACTGTGCTTGAAGTGTTTGGGGGTAAAAAGAAAATTGGACTCAGGTATTCATTACTTGAACATTATTAGATATTGATACCAAATTATTGATACTAAATTATTTTTTTCCATCTTTGCTTCCATTTGTGCTGTAGATATGAGCACTTCACCTCATGCCTTGGTCAAGTATTAGATCTCCTTCATGGAAAGGATCCAGATTCATTATCTAAGGTACTTCATAAGAAGACCAAGAGGGTACAAGTCATAATATAGTTCCACATCTGAAGCCATAAATAGATTCCTTGTGTGTGAGAACTGATAATGAAGTAAATTGACATAAGGACTCTTTATTGACCCTACAGTGTTTATCAGCTTAAATCTAATTCTTAAAAGACTTTATGGTTGAATTTGTTTATTTGTGGGTTATTGGTTGTTGGTTTTTTTTTTGTTTGTTTGTTTGTTTTTGTTTTTGTTTGCTTGGTATTTATTTCCTAGTAGTTCTAAAAGCTTAGAAACACATTATTCCACAGTATTTGGACAATTTGATGTCACATTGGGTTAAGCATTTCTCTATTGCATTCAACTTTGTCTCACTACCACTCTACATAATTAAAACATTGGCTACGTGGTGCTAAATGCTAAAATATGATTTGTCCTGAAAATGTTTCAAAGATATATGTTGACCAATCTTAAACTTTTCTAATCAAAGCATTTTTGCATCATAGTAAATGATGAAAGCTAATGTTTCTATGTATGGATTTTTTTTGTTGATTATTGGTTATAATTGAGAAATGTGTTGACATGGAGCTTTCCAGGGGTCTTCATCTCACGGCTATCTGTCTGTATCTCAGAATAGCATTTCTACGACTGAGGAGTAATTAGAGAGCAGTTGGTCCTTTTTTAAAATTATTTTTAATGACTAGTCTAATGGACTGTGCTGCTGACTTGACTTCACAGAAAAAATATCCTTCATAGAATTCTAAAATGTCAAGAGCAATTGTTTATAACTTAGATATCTCTTAGATTTGTGCCACGGGAGTTGCAATTTTTATATGAGTAGCTGGTTTAGAAGTATTTGAACTCTTTCATTCACTTCATACAGATCTTAGAACTGCTGCTTGCCTTCTGTTCTGTGGTAGAACTGCGTCATACCCTGCGGCAGGCAATACTGGAACCATCTGGCTTGCCAGTCTCTGGAAATACCAGATTTGTGACTCGCTCAAAGACTTTTGAACCATCTGTTGCATTGGTGCATTTGTCAAACCAACCATTGGAAGGCTCTGAAGACTGTTCAGTTCTAGCACTGCAGCTATTCAAAGAGGTCTTTGAGGTATGAACGCTAATGATTGAGCTTAAAGTGCTACTTAGCTGTTACAGTTTTGCTTTGATCAATTTTTAAGTATTTATTAGTGTTTTACTTGAAAAACGGGACGTAAAAATATACCAGAAATGTTTTTAAAATTCCATACTTTATCAAACATCTGTTTTTAAGCACATTAGAAATATATTTTGAGGACTGTATTAGAAAGATATCTTTTCTGAAAATTATGTTGGCTGTTCATGAAGTAGAAACAAAACTATTCAGTACTTGTTTTCAAGGACTTGTAGAAGTGAGTTTCTGTTTTTCCAGCATTATTTGTTAAA